CAGTAGAAATGTACAATTTTATAAATTAACCTAGTTACACCCTCCTGGCTTTTAAGCAGACAACTGGCAATTTTACTTCCTGGTTTCTTTAGCTCAAAGCAGCTGACCTCAAGAGGCAGCAATTGCCCAGAGCACCTGCCTTTCTCATTGAGCTGCATTGGGAATTCTGTGATTGGACAGCCACAGGAAGTCTGGGTGGGGTTCAAAGGGAAGAGCGTGCAAAGGCAAGCTGATTTTAGATATAACTCCAATGAAAAAAAAAAAAAACAATAAATTGCATGAAAGTTTTCATTTGGGGTATATCTACTAAACAGTGATTTTTATTTATTTTGTATGTGGGCAGTGGAGCGTCCATTTAAGCAGTTAAATTGCAAAATCCCATTCAAAGGAGTATTAGTAGTTTTGGAATTACTTCCCATAATATTCTAAGTGATCAAAATATAAAATCACATATGAAATGTGTAACAAGAGAAATGGTGGGTAATTATGCTTAGAATGTGCAGAAAGAACATAGATCGTCTCCAGGCCCGGACTGGCCATCGGGCACACCGGGCAAATGCCCGGTGGGCCGCTGTGGCCATGGGCCGAGGCCGGCAGGGGAGGTCCCAGGATCTCCCCTGCCGGTCTATGCAGGGCCGGCACTATCCTTGCGCCGGCCCCGCTGTTTGCCACGACGGGCCGGTGGGGAGATCAAAGCTCTCCATCACCGGCCCAAATGCGGCCGCCGGCGGGGAGGGAGGGAGACAGCCAGCCAGGCTGGAGAGAGGACCCGGCGGAGCTCTAATTTGCAGCTCCGCCGGGTTCCTCTCGCGAGATCCGGCGCGTTGCCATGGCAACGACCGGATCTCGCGAGAGTGAACTCTAGCCTCACAGGCTAGAGTTCACTCACCCACGAGGACCACCAGGGAACACCGCGTGCCGGACCCCCCCTCCCAGTCCCAGCGTGCCGGTCCCCCCCCTCCCAGGCTAAAGGTAAGAAGGGAGGGGGGGAAATAATGACTTTTTTTTATTTTTATTTTATTTACCCCCCCTACACACACACACAATAACATTTATACAGCACTCTCACACCCATCACACACAGCACTCTCTCCCACAGCACTCTCACACCCATCACACACAGCACTCTCTCCCACAGCACTCTCACACCCATCACACACAGCACTCTCTCCCACAGCACTCTCACACACAGCACTCTCTCCCACAGCACTCTCACACCCATCACACACAGCACTCTCTCACACCCATCACACACAGCACTCTCTCACACAGCACTCTCACACCCATCACACACAGCACTCTCTCACACAGCACTCTCACACCCATCACACACAGCACTCTCTCACACAGCACTCTCTCCCACAGCACTCTCACACAGCACTCTCACACACATTACACACAGCACTCTCACCCATCACACACAGCACTCTCACCCATCACACACAGCACTCTCACCCATCACACACAGCACTCTCACCCATCACACACAGCACTCTCTCACCCATTACACACAGCACTCTCTCACCCATTACACACAGCACTCTCTCACCCATTACACACAGCACTCTCTCACCCATCACACACAGCACTCTCACACCCATCACACACAGCACTCTCTCACACAACACTCTCACACCCATCACACTCTCAGCACTCTCACAGCACTCTCACACACACAGCACTTTCACACACACAGCACTCTCTCACAGCACCCTCACACCCATCACACTCACAGCACTCTCTCACACTCTCTCACAGCACTCTCACAGAGCACTCTCTCACACACCCATCTCACACCGCACTCTCACACCCATCATCACACACACACGGCACTCTCACACCCATCACTCACACATGGCACTCTCACACACACCGCACCCCTCACACACACACCGCACCCTCACACACACACATACTGCACCCCTCACATACACACAGAACCCCCCCAACACACATACACAATACTTCCATATATATATTTATATATATACATACATACACACACACACACACACACACACACACACACACACACACACACACTACACTCTTAAAGGACCACTCTAGCCACCAGACCACTTCAGCTTAATGAAGTGGTCTTGGTGCCAGGTCCTTCTAGGGTTAACCCATTGTTTTATAAACATAGCAGTTTCAGAGAAACTGCTATGTTTATCAATAGGTTAAGCCTTCCCCCAAAGCCTCTAGCAGCTGTCTCATTGACAGCCGCTAGAGGTGCTTGCGTGCTTTTCACTATGAAAATCACAGTGAGAGCACGCAAGCGTCCATAAGAAAGCATTATAAATGCTTTCCTGTCGACCGACTGAATGAAGTAGCGCCCAGCTCTTGCATGGCGTGCGCATTCAACCACGGCCGGGGCATAGTCCGGAGGGAGAGCTCCCGGTAGCTGGAAAAGGTAAGTTTTAACCCCTTTTCCAGAGCCAGGCGGGAGGGGGTCCCTGAGGGTGGGGGCACCCTCAGGGCACTATAGTGCCAGGAAAACGAGTATCTTTTCCTGGCACTATAGTGGTCCTTTAACATACACACTCTGGATCCCCTATGCACACACTAGATTCCTTGTAAACAAACACATACTACACCCCTAAACACACACACACACACACTATAGCCTGTATGCACACACTTGCTATATCCCCAATACACACATTCTCTACAGCCCATAGCCACATATGCATCACATTACACCACAAACACAACACGACTAAAACCGACCTTATTACACAATACCACACCACGACCAGCTCACTTTACACACACGCAATACCACAAGCAGGCTCCAAACACATGCATAATACTCTTTCCTGGCCTTTTGTCTCCTGGTATCCATTTATAGAGACACCAGAGACAAGTTGCAAGGAAACACAGTGCAAGCATGTTATTAAATTTGCTTGCACTGTTCAGAACAAATACAGGACTTTTTTCTCATGCTAGAGCTCTTCAGCAGAGCTCTGCGCATGGTCTGCCCTGGAAGAGCATTGAACCAACATGCTCACTTTGGGAGGAGGCGTGTTTGTCATTGGTGATGACAAAACACACCTCCTCTGCCCCGCCCCCTTTTTAGTGGGCCGCTGTGTTAAAAAAATGCCCGGCCCGAATTTTTCTCCCA